AACAATAAATTGAATTATTATCATTAACGATAAATGTTTTAGTTTCCGGTGAATTTATTTTACCTGTTCAATGTAAACATGGTTATGGAAAATACAACAGTTATACAACTCCAACAAGTTTAAACTATATCGAAAATTTGAGGGGTAATTGTGGCATTTTCATTTAGAATTGTCTTATGAGAATTGATTTGAATTAATTTTTTTAGCTAAACCATCAAGAGGTGTAGGAATTTCAGCATGGGGTATAGTGTTCCTTATTATAATGTTTATTTTGGTTGGAGTTGGAATATATTATGCTGCTGTATTTTACCCTTTATTATGTAAAAAAGAACGTAAATATGATAGAATTGAACTTGCCACAGTGTAAATTGAATTGAACTGATAACATATGCTCAATTTTTATATAATTTAAGAAGACTGAAGAACAGAATAATATCTGTAATTTTATACTGCAAAAGCACTATTTGCATTTTTTTAGTTTTTATCTCATAAAAATGTATTACTACATTGTTGCATGAATTTTGAGTCTCATTTTTGGGACTTGTCCTTTTTGAATGGTATTTTATATTTTTGGGGAAAATATAGTTGCAGCAGGTGTAGTAGTTTCTATGTAGGTATGATACTTCAAAATATATACTTGTATTACATGAGAAGATTTTATAATAAAATTTTATATAAACATGCAATTTTTTCCTGTCTCTTTTAAAAGTAATTATAGAAGAGTGAAGTTGCAATAATTAATTATTAATTTGCAAGTTTCATAATTAGGTCAATGAAATAGAAAAAGTTAGGTTATGCTTAACGACTTTTAAGATAAGTGGCCAATAATAATATTATTTGTTAAACCTTAAAAATTACGATTTAAAATATGTAATTATGATCGCCGAGGTAAAGTAAATCATACATTATAAAATTAACACAAAAGGAACTGTGAAAAAATGTTAATGGACCCTGATCTGGAAATACGTGTTAAAAAGGGTAAGAAAATACCTATAAAAATAGCAATGTTTAGTTAATAATTTCTGTTATTTAAAGCTACTGAAAGAATATCCGAGAATATGCACATAGTTGCAAATGAGCCTTCATTGGCATTTTATAGACTGCAAGAGCATGTACGGAAAGCCCTAAATCCCATAGTTGATAGACGTTCTGATGTTCTTAAACTTCATCAAGAATTGCAAGGAAGGTGTTACGATGTAGAGTACGCTATTAGGTAAATCGTAACATGTGGGTAAACTTCTGACACAATACAATTAATGTTTTAGTGCCATTAAAGCAATGAACAAAGCTGACACTAGTTTTAAAAATACATTGGATCATATTAAAAATGCAATATTTGTCAAACAGCAACTAAAGTATGAAGAATCGCGTAAAAAGAAACCAGAACCCAATTCAGTATACAAAAGACTCTCGGCTCATATTACATTAGATTTAACAGAACTATCAGAATTATCTGATGTTGTTAGGGAAACAGCCAATCGTGTTGAGTCTATGATGTCTAAAGCTGCTCATTCTAGTTCTTAAAAGTTACTTTTCAATAGTTATATTGAAACAGTAATGTTTTATAAATTCATTTTGTAAAGACAGTGTGGATTAATTACCATTATTTAATTATCAAGGTTTAAGTTTCTAATTAAGTACATAAACAGTTCTTAAAATAACAAAT